AAACACTTTGTGGCTCTTTTAGATCAGGTTGTGTGTCTTTAAGGTGGTATTTATTTAAATTTGCTCTTTGTGGTTGCTCATTTTGTGTCCTGTTGACCATTTCTCTCATGTTGAATCTTTATCGTTCTTTGTTTCTTGTACCATTTGGGTCATTTTGTGGCTCATGTTTGTTATTTTGCTCATTTTGTGTTTAATTTTGATCATTTTATGGCTCATATTCTACTTTGCTCCCTCCGTCTCTCACCTTGGTCATTTTACATCTCTGTACGGTTGTTCTGGTTGTATTTTGTTCGTCATTTGTGGCTCATATTGACAATCTTGCATCTCTTTATATTGTTTTTTATCTCCTCCTCATTGGCCATTTTTCTCTTCATTGTTTTTTCTTCTGCTCATTTTACATGCTACTTTAGTCCTTTTACATATATTCATGGTTGCTTTTGTTTAATTTTGTGAATTTTCTGGCTAATTCTGACCTTTTGGGTCTCAGTTTGGTCAATCTGCTTTTCTTCATGTTGTATTTTGCATCATTTTGGTCCATTTGACTGAATGAGGCCATTTTCTAAATTATATTTGTCTTTTACAAAGTAGTTTAGTTGTTTTGTTGTAGTTCTACTCATTTTTCTCATTTTGATCATTTAGTGTCTCACATTGGTCAGTTCACGTTGTTTTTGTTCAGATTTTAGTCATTCTGCATCTCAGCTTGTTGATTTTTGTTCCATTTTGGTCATTTTTTGTGTCTTTAAGGTTGTTTTTATTCAATTTTAATCATTTCATGTTTCATTTTAAACACTTTGTGGCTCTTTTAGATCAGGTTGTGTATCTTTAAGGTGGTATTTATTTAAATTTGCTCTTTGTGGTTGCTCATTTTGTGTCCTGTTGGCCATTTCTCTCATGTTTAATCTTTATCGTTCTTTATTTGGTGAACATTTGGGTCATTTTGTGGCTCATGTGTGTCATTTTGTCCACTTTGTGTGTCATTTTGTGGCTCTTTTTGCTCATTTTATGTATAATTTTGATCCTTTTGTGTCTCATATTTTACGTTGCTCACTCTGTCTCTCACGTTGGTCATTTTACATCTCTGTCCATTTGTTTGGTTGCATTTTGTTCATCATTTTTGGTTCATTTTGATAATTTTGCATCTCGTTATATTGTTTCTCAACTCTTCCTTATTGGCCATTTTTCTCTTCATTGGTTTTTCTTCTGCTTTTCTTCTGCTCATGTTACATGCTACTTTCGTCATTTTACATATATTCATGGTTGTTCTTGTTTAATTTTGTGAATTTTCTGGCTAATTCTGAACTTTTGTGTCTCAGTTTGGTCAATTTGCTTTTCTTCATGTTGTATTTTGCATCATTTTGGTCCTTTTGACTGAATGAGGCCATTTTCTAAATTATATTTGTC